CATAAGGTAGTCATGCTTATATCTGAGCTAGTTGTGTCCTCATCAAGGACAGCCTCAAATTCATCCAGTGCACCTTAATTATACTCGGGTTCGTCAACCTCGAACTCTCCATTGTTGTCATTATGATCAAAGGGTGGGAGATCTCTCTCATCTTCAAGAATCATGTTGTGCAATATGATACAAGCCATCATGATCAATCCAATGCCACCTATTTCCCACAATCGACAAGGCACAACAACCACCCTAAAACACGCCTTCAGGATGTCGAAGGCACACTCAATGTATTTTCTTGTTGACTCTTGGTGAGCTGCAAACAACTGGTCTTTGTGACTTTGCGGTAACTTATTGTTATAATTAGCGTCACCCATTTGGGATAAATTCCATTAGCTAAGTAGTAACCATACTCAAATTGATACCCATTAACTGTGTACCTCACCCTAGGAGCTGTCCCAAATATCATTTTGGTGAAGATGGGTGACTAATTGAGCATGTTTATATCATTGTTAGAACCAGCGACACCAAAGAATGCATGACAAATCCATCTATCATATGATGCTATGCCTTATCTTGCAACGCCATAATCCCCTGATATACATTCCTTTCCAACCATTGGGACAATTCTGCCACCTCCAATGCATTCAGTCAATACTTCCAAGCATTCCAGGAAATCCCTCGACCTCATGCAAGACAATTCTGCCACCTCCAATGCATTCAGTCAATACTTCCAAGCATTCCAGGAAATCCCTCGGCCTCATGCATCTGGAGAAGCTGCCAGGAAATCCCTCGGCCTCATGCATCTGGAGAAGCCGCTCAGTGTTCACCACTGTATGTCTTCACTTCCAAGCATTCCAGGAAATCCCTCAGCCTCATGCATCTGGAGAAGCCACTCAGTGTTCTCCACTGTATGTCTTTTCAAGTATCAGTCACCAAATATTTCAATAACCCCTCATAGAATTTTTTGAGATACACTAGTGAAGTTGAAGCTGCAATTCTTACATACTCATCTTGTTGGTCAGCACAAAAAGCATATGCTAACATACGCATAACTGCAGTACATTTCTATAAGGGTGAATGTCCTGGCCGGCCAAGTACATTAAGACGATGTGTGAAGTATGAAGTGGCTCAACAATACGAAGGAACAATGGCTTTCTCATGCGAAAATGATGACGAAAGTTCTCTTCATTGTACACTGGATTATCCTGTTGGTATTTCTTATGACCACAAATAAATCCGCAAGCACACGAAATACCACTGTTGCACTTCACCTTCGGGTGACCCCAAAAGGATTTCGAACTCAGGGAACATGTATAATCTACCTAAGGCTAAGACAATCCAAGGACAACAACTATTGGTAGGCTAGCTAGGCTAAAGAGGACTTTCTATGTGTTTTAATTATTTAAGCTAAGTAAAGGTAATTTCCTATCTGCTGCTTCGGGCACCGACCCTTGCTAGTCTGCCAGCATGGTTCCGGCTATAGCTCTATGATGCATCCGAACGTGGAGGATTACTAGGATAGGATTCAGGGCTGTCACCAACTGTCGTTTACCTCTGACAAATCCATGGGATACACAATAAACAAAGGTAATCTCTAACCTAGACACCATGCCTAAGTTATTAATTACTAATCTAATACTTGTGCAGAAACTTCCTTCTTTATCCAGAGTCTAGTATTGGAGCACTCAGTACGAATACTAAACAATGAACCCGCAAATATGAAAATCTATCTTAGACTAAATAATTAAATAACATAAGAAAAGATCCCGAGCAGAGTGTACCGACAGCTCCGGTACTCCTCCAGAATTCCTCCTAGAAAGCTACACCCATTGAGGTAGAAGTCGGAGATAGCGCCAAACTTCCGGGCACTCCTCCAGAGCTTCCCTTCACCCTCTACCTATTTTCTAATGTACAAAAGATACAATAGAGCCTCTTATAATTCAGCTCAAAGTTGTGTGTGTTGTGAAGTGAAGTGAGCTTCTCCTTTTATAGCCTCCATATGATGGTTACAACTATGGGAATTGTCCAAAACACCCTCCAACCGTCATTGGGAATAAATCAAGAGCGTAAACGTGGAAGATGGCGATCAACGGCCTCAGAACAGGTTTGGCCGAACCCAAAAACCCACATTCTGGCCACTCCTTTGGCTGGGAGGTTGTTAATGGGCCCCCAACATCATGTACTATGATTTGGCCCAATTATAAGTGGTTTTGATTGACATATGGGCCCTCCAATCCATGTAAATGTGTCCTGATTGTCCGGAGGTGTATTTTGTCGTATGACGGACGTGTTTTCTCCTTAATATACCTGCATTCAAATATTTCACCAACACTAGTGGAAATGATTAGGAATAATCCCTACCACTAAGTTGGATACCATATTTTATTTCATTATATACAAGTATTGATGGTCAGATATTATGATTTAAGAATCGTCAACAGTATGATATTTCCTTCCATTGCCCTCAATGGGATCAGTGGAATTGTTGAGCCAAGCACTAACCAACAATTCAATGTAGTGGGGTAAACATACTAGTTTCACTCACCTTAATATCATCTTCATTTAAATAAAATGGAACAAATGTAATCTCAGCAAGAAACTCAATAGCACATAAATTGCATAAACCCTTTTACAGAAGTTTCGGCACCCTAAATAAGTAACTAAATTTAAAACCAATCAATACTCACAGTTAACAATTCTATAAAAATATCCCAACTCACTAACATCATCATATCAAACTAATCCATCTCAGTACCATCATCATATCTATCATCTACAAACTCCAAAAATCATCATCATTGAAGTAATCAAACTAACTCACTAACAAATAACAAATAAACCAATGATACTCATCCACCACATGTACAACATTCACAAATAATTGACTTAACCAACCAATTATTCACCCATCACAGCAGTAGCATCATCAATACATAAACCAAAATAAATAGGATGAAACAAAAATTCTCACCAGCCTTAGGTCCTCATCATGTGTGTAGTAGAGTTTGACCCTCCCGTCATCACCAGCTTGGGGTGGGGGATCTGGAATTGGCAGCTAGGGATTTGGCACTTGGGGTTGGGAATTTGCTGAAACCCTATGGTGCTGGCAAGATCTTGAGCCCCTTGTGCTGCTGCCCGTGAATCCACTACTAGAGGTGGAGGGGGTTGAGTGCAGAATGCAGGAAACTGTGAATGAGCATAGGGGAACATGAACTGGGGATGGACAAAGGCAGGTTGGCTCGAAGATTTGCCAAGATTGGTGACCAGATCTGGGTCATTGAACATGTTGGGGAAGCCAGTGGGAGGATTCGGATCCATGTCGACCTGCAAACAGATTGTTCTTAGAACCGCAAAGGAAAACCAAATCAACAAACAAAAATGGGGGTGGCGACTAGGGTGTACAGACCTAGGGTTCAGGATAAAAAGAACTAACCTTTTTGGGGGTTTTCTCTGATGGGGCTCGACGAGGCTCGCCGCGACCTACGGGAATGCCTGCGAATGATGGCCGACGATGACCGACGGTGCGTCGCACGGCGAGGTGAACCGAGGCAGAAAGAGAGGGGCAAACCGGCCGAGCGAATGGCGAGAGGGGCAAGAGCGACAAGCTTGTACCCCTGTGGATTGAGAGAGGGGGGACCGCTCCAACAACGCGAGGAATCGACCTACACAACGCGGTGCCCAGACCCAAAGCTTTGCCTCGCATCAACTCCCCGCGCAGAGGTGCGCGCACGTGCAGAAGGTCCACGCCTCCCTACGGGCGCGTGCTCCTCGACGCTTTTTGGCGGATGGTCTAATGTGGAGGGCTGGGGGTGCGGTCCACGTCCCCGTGTCGGCCATGCCCTAACAGGCTCAATGACAAGATGAAACCGATGACGGTTTCTAATCAAGAAAGGGAGGATGATAAGGACAACACTAGCTCGGATATGACCATAGCTACCTTATGTATTCATCAAGCAAAGGTGCCTGCTTTCTATGTGAGATTTACGCGTTACATATTGCACTATGAGTTTTGTGTGTTCTCGTTTGCAAAGGTACTTGCTTGGGTAAAGGGAAAGAGACCGAGCGCAAGGAAGAAATGAACGATCATAGAGGTTGATTGGGAACCAAACCAAGACCTTCCACAAGTCTACTCCAATATTATCAGATCACTTTTGCTCCATAGAAGTCAAGAGATGAAGTTCATGCATATCTTAGATTCGGATTCGGGTCTCCCGGCAGCATCAACTTCAAACGGACATAGCAGCTGATCCAGAAGGATTCTCAAGGTACATGAGTACTTGTTAGAAATTTTATGGAATCTACTTTCACATGGTTTTTGTCTCACGACAAAATTCCTTCTTTGCTGTCGAAAATCTACAAAACAAGCCATGTACATCATCCAATTCGAGTCTGATTTGGGTCTTGTGCCTTATAATTATGTCATGAGCTAAGCCCAAAGAGTTGTGCACCTTAGGGCGACCCTAAGAATATTTATTCAGTAGCCATCATAGTTTAGAATAAGATTTTGCTTAGATTATTTCTATCATTGCAGTTTCGTTGCTAGTTTGATTTGTGTAATGCCAACTTTGAGATCTTAACTATTCATCTTCAGATTGAGTTACAATCTACCTTGTTCTTACTTATGTTCTTCAATTCGCGTGCAAGGATTAGTCTTTTCGGTAAGGTCAATGTTTCAGCACGGTTGATAACCAGAGGAGACATGGTGTTGTGATTGCAGGGCAGGATCGTGTCTGTCAAGTTTCCGCTAAATTAAGAGTTATCAATACCTATCGAAAAATCGGGACCTAGTTCCTCAAATGGGGAGGGAGGAGAAAAGGGTATATGTATCTATGAATTGAGGAGCATCACTGTATAGTACAGGAAAAGCACATACCGGAGTGGCGATTTTTCGGCAACTACACAACAAATTTCCAGTAGTGTATTTCTAAAAAAAGATGAGAGCAGAGTTTAATAAATTGGAATTTTATCAAATTTTTTTCCTGAAAAGGGAACGGGCCAGTCTCGCAAGATGAAACCATTTAGACTTTATTACAGCAAGCAATAAATTAAAACGTAGATACACATGCATGCATTACACATTCATGACCATTATTTTCGTGAACAAGCAAGGTGACATGCATGCATTCACCAAGATAAAAGACTTAAATTACAAGGGTGTTACTGATGTTTGATGATCAACACCAAGCTATAGCAAGCATAGGTGCGCTCTGGCAGCTGTCTACAACTTAACCCTTCTTCATTCTTCCAGTGCATAATAATCCATTAATCCACCCAAAGAGATCAATCTCTAGCTAGACAAGAGCCACACACACACACACACACACTACCAGTTATATACTCTGTTGTTGCACCCATCAAACCATGAGCATACACGTGCATAGCATCAAGAGGAACCAGCCTTTTCAGCAGGATGGCTGCTCCTGATGTTATGCAGCTAATTAACCCAAATGCAAGCATGCATGCATGTGATGTAATATGTAAGATATGATCTCTATATTTCCATTGATTCTTCAGCTAGCTTAATTAGCCAGCCGAGCCAGCCATTTCATTGGCCATGGCGCCCACAGAGATCACCGGACCATGCATCGATCTAGCGGCCGAACCCTATGCCGAAAGCCGGCGGCGCCGCCCAGTAGTCCGCCGGGCCGGCGTCGACGCCGACGTCCACCGTGCAGCTCACCGGAACCAGGCACAGGCCCCTGCTCCTCAGATCCATCGTCTTCGCTTCCTCACAGCTTTCATCCTGATTAATTAATTAATTAATCGAGTTAATTATTGTCACACAAAATTATCGTAGGCACCATTTAGTATTTTACAATTATTTTGCTAAATTATGTATACTTGTAATTTACATGAAATTTAAATCGATGAGAGTACATGTATCGTTCTAAGGGATGAGGACTCACTTGATCAGGCTGTCCTCTCTTTTTCACGGCATTGTCATGTAGGAGCTGCTCGTACAATGGAACCACACATAAAGAGGGTGTTGTATTAGTTATTAAGTGATTAATCAAAGCTAAGTTTGCAGTGATAGTTATTAAAGGTGTAAAGCTAGAGACAAAGTACTGGCCCCATGATTAACTTTCCAGGATGCTTTTATGGACCAATTAAAGCAAAGCTTTAGACAAACTAAAAGCCCCTTTGGGAACAAAAGGATCATCTTTTGTGCTTTACTTAACTGATCAGCTGGGTATAGATCCCATAAAGGAAAAATGACTAATTGATCGAATAATTCATTAGTTACTTAATACCTGGCCAGGGTCTTCTGGAAATATGCTGTTCCTTTCTCCTTGCACCTATAAAATTAAACAGCAATTAAAGGGAATCAAACAGCTAGCTTTTTTATCGACCAGCATATATATACTCATTTGGTTCGTCAGGCATAAAGTTTCTGTCAATACTTTTATCGAAAGATCTCACAGAGATACGATGCTCTGAATAAAATCATAAGCACAAGCTTTTTATTCTTGATTATTGTGTGCAAAGTTTGTTCTGCCATTACGTAACCTAATCTAAACTAATCTAGCTAACCCATGCATATGGTAGTTTTGTTGTTCTTTTTGCAGTGTGCAGAGATCAGTGCATGTGTCAATCCATGGATCGGAAGAATAGTCTATTGAGACCAGTACAATAAAATTGCAATGATTAGATTAATTAATTATAGCAAGTGTACTCCCTGTTCTGCAGTGTGCAGACTCAATGCATGTGTCAATGTGGATCAGAATAATATTATATTGAGCAGTACATGAAGAAGTAACGTAACCCTACAATTAACAAAATGTACTGACGCAACACCTGTGCAGGCAACATAGTTTGGAATAAAGCCATAATTTTAGATAAAATATTTCAAGTGTATGTGCTACATGAAAATAGTTGTGAGGTTGAAGTTGTGGGCACATTTTATAAACTTATACTAGCTAAAATTTGTGAGGTTGAAGTTTGGTCTAAAATTTGTGTATGACCGTCTAATGTAGCCTTTTCCTAAAAGAGAATTCTTGTTGGAAAAAAAAAAGGTTTTATGCGTGGTGTGTGGTTATTTAATTACAAAACAACCTACTATATGTACGAATATGTTTTTTCTATCAGTATATATTTTTCCCAACAACTTAGCCTAGCTGCCAAAAACATACAACAAATATGTGCGCACCACTGTACTATAGTTGACATATGAACAGATAGATGCATGCTAGATAGTAATTGACAACGTACTTGGAACACAATCACTTGACATTACCCTTTGTCTTTATTGTGGACAAGCTCTGTGAGGGGATTTCAATATTATTTGTGTGTACTACGGGTCATGCTTCCTAAATAAAGTTAACTAGAATAAATTGCAGTAGTACTGATAGAATTATATTTTGTGCACATAAAAAAGGTAGAGATACTTTATTAATCGTGAGGTGGTTGCAGGAAACCAACAATTTTTCATCGGTTTCAACCGACCAAATCATTGTTGTGTTTCTGTCATGACAAAGCCTTATGTCACCTACTGTTGTACATAGCTAGAGGACTAAATGTTTTTGTTAATCCTCTACAAAGTGGCTAGTGTTAATAACCAATATATATAGAGAGTGTGTTTTTTTTTCGAATATAAAGTGAATTGTCTGCTTTTTCTAATCAGTTGTGGCTTTTAGTTTGAATTGATTGGTGCACAACTTAATATGCAATCAGATCCAAAGATCTCGAGATCAAATCTTGGTTAGCGCTCTATTTCATGCTAAAGGGCTTGAGGAGGCCTCGCGTAAGGGTGCATGCAACTCAATATTCTACTATAGTAGTCTCCAATGACATTTTATGTGTTTTACCCCCCCCCCCCCCCATCATTATGCATTCCCTACTCCCCATGCATTGTATGTGTGCCGGCTTAATTTGAATGTGTCTATTTTTCACACGATAATTATTTAAAAACCATTGAAATGATATGATTTAAAAACAACAAGAAACAAACGATAGATTGCACCATATGGTAAAATAATGTGTTTGGGCTTAATTTGAAGCGTGATCGATCTGAGTTCGATCGACGACCCCCCAACGTACCAACAACCATATATATCGATATATATATGAGCCAGAAAATAATGCTACAACAACTAAGTAAGGACGAAAACGGTTTTCCTATATATATGGACCGTGGTTACGTTTGGACCACGCCAACAAAGTAACAACAACGACCAACGACCATTCATTCCGATGATCTACTTACTCCTATCTATCAGCCGCCACCCAATAATGAAGCTGCCTGCATCTGCATCTGCATGCCTTGCCCACGGTAAAAAAGACCAGGCTGCTGCTATTGCAGATTTGCAGCAGCAGCAGCAGATGCAACGACGACCCAATGCAAATTAAGCCTGGATATTTTCTGCCAATACTTACGCTCCCTTTCACCCTTGTTGACCCAGCTAGCTGCCAATTCAAAGCCATTCCAAACGCAAAAGGATACAGATGCGATGCGATGTGATGCGATGCGAACCGCGGATGGAAGGCGTGCAGATGGATATGGCACGCACGGTGATGATGAGAGAAAAAAAAAACCCCTGCTGCTGCAGCCAACGTCGGGAATTGTGCACATCGATCTCTCGCGCGTGGGGGGGCGTTTGCAGTGCAGGCATGCATGCACAGTGGATATAAGCTACAGTAGATATTGTATAGCTATATACTCACCCTGCTGGCTTCTGGCTGATGCTGGAGCTTGCTGTTGGAGCCACCTCCACCACCACCTCCACCATTGCTGCTGCTGCCGCCATTGCCAAGGTACGGCGAGCTCAGAGCCTGGAGATCCATGACCATGAGATGGGTCGTCGGAGATTATATATATTAACTAGAGTGAGAAATTTCGTTAATTAGGTTTAATGTAAGTGTGTAGTTATATGGTAGTAGTATTAGGTGGTACTCCCCTCCTCCGTTCTAAAAAAAACTTGACCTCGTATTACGATGTGACGCATTCTACTAATACAACGAATCTAGACATAAAGATTTTAGTACTAGGTTGATTTTTTTTTAAGACGGAGGGAGTATCGTACTGAAGCTAATTAAGAGGGGCAAAAAAAAGAAAAAAAAGAAAAGAAAAGGTGTGTGATGGCTTGTGGCAGCACAGGGGAGGACAACGTGTGGCTGCTTTTGCGAAAAGGCAAAGCAAGCGAGAGCAAGCACTGTTTACATGAGATGAGCAGCAGGCAGGCTAAAAAGATTGCATCCTGGCTCTCTCTCTCTCTCTCTCTCTCTCTCTCTCTCTCTCTCTCTCTCTCTGACCATCTGCATGCATGCATATGCTGCTGCATCGATCAGATCGACAAGCCAGTATAAACATAAACACACATGCACGGATCGACCGGGATTATATAGGTCTAGCTATGGCAACGCAGGCACATATACTACATATGCAGCTTTAGTATCTGTAATATGCAAGAGAGAGCATGCATTGGTGCATAGTAGAGCCCTGCCTCTTTTTGTTTCAACCTGTCTAGCTCCTTCTTTGGCACATCAAATCACTGTATAATATTATTTACTCTATCAATCTACTATGCATCATTTCATGGAGCTAAGCTAAGCTAAGCTAATCTCTGCATGCTTGTAACCCTAGCTATGAAATGTTTCAATTAAGATGTTATTATGTCAAAGTATGTATACTTGCAATTAATGGAGCTGTCTCCAGAAAGTATGTATATATGTTGTGTCAAAAGTGAACAACGACCTGCCGCATGTACGAATGACAATAACCAAGAAACAAACACTTTATGATTCATGGATTCTGCTTCCTCCGTTTCACAATGTAAGTTATTCTAGCATTTTCTACATTCATAATAATGTTAATGAATCTAAATAGATATATATGTCTAGATTCATTAACATCAGTATAAATGTGGGAAATGGTAGAATGACTTACATTGTGAAAGAGAGGGAGTAGCATTATTTGATAGAGCTAGCTGCTCTGCAGGTATGGGCACGCATGCATGGAGGAGAGAGAGAGATGATGGAGAGAAATGAGAGGGAGAGAAAGAGCTGGACCTCAATTTGACCGTGTAGGAATCTGATGTACCCAATGGCTTCAAGGAGTACAGACGCAGTGTCAGTCTGGCATAAAAGAGAGGTTAGCCCATGTCAGGATCTCTTTTTTGTATTTTTCTCTGGAATATTGGATCTTCTTTTACTACTACATGACTGGTCATCACCCATCAGGGGTTAAAAACAAAGATACAAAAGTACTACTATCACCACAAGATACTCCTATTCTATAGAGAGTTTCATTCATTCCCCTATATATATTGATATATATAACTTCCTTCTTCGGTAAAGTAGCTAAAGATAACTAATTAGGAGTATATATGATCATCAACGCATCAGATAATTCTCAGTAGAGTTTTCCCTCAAATTTCATTAACTTCTATTTTGTCTTTTCCTTTTGTTTCACTGAAATATATATTTGTAATTTTATGAACAAAATAAATGAGACTTAATTATATATGTAGGAACAGATCTTACTACTTAGAAATAAGAATAATTTACATTAATCTAAATTTATATATACATTGATGTATTGGACTATAGTAATAATTAAGCCGGTGTGCCATACTCATGGGCACATACGTACTCTTTCCGTTTTCATATCCATTAGGTACAAGGTCTAATCATTCTCCGGAAAATTACAGCTCATCTCAGAAGAGGCTAAATGAGGAACTACTTGACATTGTATATATGTGGTCATAGCACCTTATAATATTGTCTTATCCATTGTCTTTCCAACTGGTTTTTCTTGTATATATTCCTTACAGAAATAACCATCTGTTCGTTGAACACTTAGCATTTGTATAATTAAGAAACTTTACCAGATCAACGAACTCAGTTGTTATATTCTACTAGCCTAGTGACAATTATTCTCTTCCCATTGTTGAAATCTAAAAGCTAAAGACTAATAACATGCATGTAGTGATATATATGTACCTTCCCAAATGGGGAGACAAGCTGGTGAAGGGCAGTTATTCTATCACCTAGCTTCTCCTTCCTCACCTGAAGAAAAAGCACAAGCAAAACATACTAATTAAGAACGCCATCATTTCCATCTCCAACCCCATCTCACCTTATCTCTTAACCTACAATGATTCCATGCCTGTCCGTTTCAGCAAGCAAACTATTGCTTCAGTGCTAGCTTAGATTGCTCTGATTGATTGGGCCATGCTCATTGAGAGATCTAGAGAGAGAGAGAGAGAGAGAGAGAGAGAGAGAGAGAGAGAGAGAGAGAGTACCTTAACTGTAGCTTGAGCCGGAGAGGGTTCTTGGGTCCTGGCCTTCTTGAAAGCTGCTCCAGATGCTGTGCTGATGCACTAGGAGAAACACAAAAGGATGGAGAGCAAAGTTACAAAACTTTCATACATAACTAATTAATTATCAACATGGCTCCCTATCTTAACTGCTTCCAGGAGGAGTGAAACTTTCATGCATGGTTATCTACCCACACAAAGCTATTAGTATTGAATCTCTCTTTCTAACCATCCAAAAGGTGATGATGAGCTTCCTCAAAGAAAGACTTTTTCACCCACCCTCACTCCTCAGTAAATGATAAGCACCTAAAATAATCTACACACAAACAAAAATTACCAGACTGATTATCTTGAATGATGATTGTCCCTACCTCACGTGGTGAAGTGTTGTTTGAGAACTCCAGCACGCCGTTGCTTCCAAGGGAGGTGGTAGAGGTGATGCAAGAAGACCTAGGGGAGGAAGCTTGCTGCTGCAAGGCGTTGTGGTGGGGGTGATGGCCATGGATGCCACCCCATGGAGAAGACGACGGCCTTGCAGCCACTGCCAATTGGGAAGCATCATCACTCGTGCTGCTCCCATGGCTAGTCGTGGTGGTGCTGTAGATGTTGTTGTAGCTGTTGCTCCCATGATCAGCTTCTGCAGCAGCTGCAGCTGGTGTAGTTGGGAACAGCACCTGGCCTTCCCAGTTCTTGTTGTACCCCTCTTCACCACTAGCCAATCCACCACTGGATGATCACAATATATATGACCATGTAAAGAGGGAGAGATGAGGTTTTTAGCACAATATTATTTCATGTAGCTGTTCAGAAGAATTCTAGAAACAGACCATTTCCAAGAATAATATCAAGTTAATCAATTACAAACATATAAATAAAAAAAGAGAGAATGTGTGTGTGTGAATTACAGTAAGATATGGTTCCATGAGTCCTGGAGATGTTGGCCGTGGCGGCTGCCGGTGTCGTGCCAAGGCGCGGCGGCGGTGCTTGTCGTCGCAGTAGAAGGAAGAGGATAGTGATTCGAGAGCAGCAGGGAGGAGAAGGAATGGAGGGGAGAGGAGGAGGAGGAGGGAGTAGTGGAGGTGGTGGTGGAGGATGGCAAGAAAAGAGAAGCCGGATTGTGAAGCTGCTCAACAAAGGGGGGCCTCAAATTATTCACACTCCACCATCCATGGCCTTCCCCCATCTCCCCCACTAGAGCTGATGATTTGTGGAGGACTCCCCTATCCATATTCCCTCTCCCTTGATATGCTGATATGATCTTCCACCCAAGCAAGCTAGCTATACTAGCAACCAAGCAACAAGGTAGCACTCACTTGATCTCTCTTTCTCTCACTCACTCTCTCTCTCTAGCTTTTGCTCACTCTCTCCACAGGCTCTCTCTCTCAGCTAGCTAGTGATCTCCTTTTACACCTTGAGGTCAACCTTTAGAGAGAGAGAGAGAGAGGGGGGGGAGGGAGAAAGCATATGAGCCTTTGGAGGGAAGGGAATCTCTCATGGGCATAAGAACTTATTAGTGGAGGAGTGGAAGAAGCTTGAAAGAAGTCATGTGTTTTATTTTGCCTCCCTCCCTCTCCATCTCCACCTTTACTAGTTATCTTTTCCTTGGCTGCCCTTTTTTTTTCTGCTGCTCTCCCTGGCATCCCTTTTGTTTTTTTGGGCCTACTTTTGCTTTTGTGAAGAAATGGGTCAGTGAAAGGTGTGGAATTGCATCCAGGCTTTAAAGAATAGCCTTAACTAAAGGAAGATATGGAGGGTTTAAGCTTTTGGTTTTTGATTGGAGAGAGTACTATAACAAAGGCTGCACTAATAAGCAATATATATACATGGATGGGCCAACAAGGTCTGATTGATAGAGGAATTCTTGCTCATAAGTTAGGGCCTGTTTAGATCCATTTGGAATGGTAAATGGCAAATGGCAAAAGTTTTGGCATTGCAAAAGTACTAGTTGGTATTTAGATGCATGTTAAAATTTTGCCATTCTAGCACTAAAGTGAGAGGGAGTGGTCCCAAAACACTTTTTGACACAATTTGCTACTATGGACTAGCAAATGCCAAATGCCAAATTGCCAGCTTTTGCTACTAGTGTTTAGATCCAAAATGGCAAAAAGTGCTACAAAATAGCAAAACTTTTACCATTTTGGAGGATCTAAACAGGGCCTTACTGTATGAGTACTGCATCTAACATAAAGTTTGTGATTTCCTAAAACTAGACACAGGCCTTGGTTGGTCAGTTTTTTTACACCATTTTTTGGAGCGGGTTTTTTATATGTGGGATTAGGATGGAAAGAGGAGAACGAATGTGTTTTTAAGATAGTAGAGAAAAACATAAAATTTGATATCAATTTCTTTTGACACACAAAGTTCGGTCCTCATCTTGTTCTTATGATATATCTTCTTGTGAAATTATGTTAGTGTATCTAAAAAGCCTCATGTTTAGTCCACGGACCAACGATTCAAAAAAAAAAAGACTAGCTAGGGAGGGACATTCTTACCTTTTAAGTTGTGCTCTAAAAAATTAGCTATTGATGTGGACTATACCTAACACACCTTAATATATGCCTCAGATTTTTCTGCTCATAAAAATAAATATATTACTCAAGCTTTACAACACATCTAATAATGAAGCTTTAAGAATTCCAGCATTTTTGTATGGTTTTTAAAATTAATCTGGGCAGTATATATGTCCATGCATGGGAACAAAATTGACCTAAATCCTAGCTAGAATCACACTCGATATACGTACTACTACTATATTCTATATGTATTACTCTGAATCGGCAGTTCGATCGGCACCCGTTTAACCCATGTCTAAATTGTAGTACTCTGAAGTTCACCTCGTGATTAAATTACTCCGAAGTTTCTTCGAGGCTAAGTTTAACCTGGCTGACATGTCCATTCCTAGCTAACTAGCTAGCTCTACAGAGTTCAGACGGCCTGAACTTATCATCTTTTCTCGTCTTTCATGCACAACTGTTCTTTATATGGCTTTGTGCTTTCTTCCTAGCATTCCTCTCTTTTCTGCAGCTTAGGGATGCATAAACTAAAGGCCTCAAACACCGAGCCAATTTCTTGCGGATTTTAGGGATGGAATTAACACATATCTTTGTTGTTGATGATGATGATGAATGAGATCGAGACAGTACCAAATCTTTGTCTAGCCTGCCTTGTCCTTCATATTACAAACTCTTCTGGATAGGTGTAGCATAGTAGTATAGTACTACCAGTACTGTCCTTGCCCTAGCATGGAAAGAATCATATGTGTAAAGTGCTACTAGTGTGCATGAGTCATCAATCAAATTAAAGATGGCATATGTATAGGTGTGTGTCTCACATCAGATAAATGTAGGAGATTATTAAAAGTCTATGTAAAGGTTATTAAGGAAAAAAAACAGCTACGGACAATGCATACATATTTATAGGCTTATAGCTACTAGCTCCTCATGTTTGTGAGTTAATTTGTCAAACCTCTCAATATATACTTCCTAACTTTCGTTTTCTATGATTATATTGTGTTCATGAACACATCGCAATGCAGTTATTTTGTCCTGTTAGTCTGTCAGACATACAGGAGGATGCATTTATAGTTTTGTCTCTGATGGGGTTTTCGGAGATCACCAAATTATTTTCTGTCCTATGTGATGTTGCGTTAGGGCCGGAGAGTGACCGCACAAAGATATAGTACCCACCTAAAGTACAAAAATAATTGTTCAAGGAGAAATTAGCTGTAGTCCATGTGATTCATGTGGGCTATTCACCAAACAAATAATTATCTAATTTGAATATTACAGTATGTAGACTGTATATAATAATCCGGCTGTTAACTAATTAATTATATAGTACTTAGTTAAGCATGCCCAGGTTCTAAGGCCCCTGCTTAATTTTGGGATAGCTATCTCAAAATTAGAGAAAAAATGTTAGTTATTCCATAAGTTTTTTTAGGAAAAATACTGCAAAATGTGAACTTAGAAACTTTCAATATACTTACGTCGTCCCAAAATATAAACATTTTCAAGCTAGGTTGGTACGGGTATTAAGAAAATATGTAAGAATGATTAGAGAAAGTGTGTGATTGGTTAAAAAGAAAGTAGGTGAAGGAGAATGATTGTGATTAGTTGAGAGGAGGAGGTAGGTAGAGAAATAATTTTATTTTGGGACAAGATATTGTATTAGAAATAGCTACATTTTAAGATGGAGATAATATTTTCCATGTTACCATACGGATATATGCAGCCTTTTAAATTGAGAACTTACTCCCTCAAATAACCTAGTCTAAAATTCGTTCCTATAAAGATTTGAATTAAGAACCTTGGGATGCTACTCAGGTCACTGCAACCCCTAGATCATATGCTGGCCCTTCTGCAGTTGACATGCTACATGGCTTCCGTTATGGACAAAACTAAACTAGACATAATTTGTAAAAGGTGTAGGAGTACATGGATAGCTAGCTTATGAATAGTGAATGCCTAATTTATTATCGAATTAAGCTAGAGATTGTACCCTACTACTTGCGTTGTTGTAGCTTAACAGCTAGTAATGCATAGCTAGCTGCAAGCCTTATCATTTTGTTCCCAAGAATCTACTAATCACTGGTCGTCGGCGCTTATGATGACGAACACTCTAACAAAGTCAAATTTTAGCTCCAAACCTTGGTGCTTATTATTAGCGGGAATGGCTGTAACCACGTCATGCAATCGTCAAGCTTAAGTCATCAGAGATTAATGGGATCTTCTGCGCCTTGAGCTGCATGCACAGTGGCAAATTGGCTCATCAGATCACAGTGATCAATCGAATTGGTGTCTATATAGCTAGCTGAAGTGCTGAACGTACAATATATGTGTGCACACTGTCTGCATATATTGGTCCACGTACGCATCCAAATATGCAGCAACACGCAGAACATTGCACTGCAGGTAGATAGCTAGGGACCATATGCATGCATGAAGCCGTTGTGGAAGAGGAGAAGGGGACATGTACATCTGACAATATTATGTTCCCCAAAGTCCTATGGTAATCTATAGAATGATACTGGTTTTCACACCGGTCAGTTTATCTCTATTATCAAAACGTCAACAAACGTGTGTATGTATCCATATATTTTCTGCATTTAACTGGGAAGAACATTAAGAAAGTGTATTCAGTTCTATCAAGATTCATATACAGATTTACCTAAAAAAATTCATATCTAGCTTCATCTCACTACTAGGAAAAATGGTTTTTAGCAACGTTGGCCTTTTATTTTTCCAGGCGGGTATGACCCTCAGAGCTAAATGGCCGCCTAGAAAAATGTAAATCGGGGTGGAGCTCACCATCCACCTGCGAAAATCATTTTTTCCAGGCGGACCTCTGCAAAAATACCTTTATTTTCGCAGGCGGACCTCTTAAGTGGTCCGCCTGGAAAAATATGATTTTTGCAGGCGGAACCTTATGTGGTCCGCCTATAAAAATCATGCCTCCAAAAAAAAATCAGTCATCGTTATCCTCTCCTCCACCATCCTTATCTTCTCCTCTCCACCACTAATTTCCCTCCCCTCCTCTCTCTCTCTCCTTCTCCCTCACACACTTAGCAAAAAAAATATCCCCCATTGGCTCACCTCCTCCCCACCTCCGCCGCCGGCTGCCCTCCTCCCCGCCTACGCCGCCGGCTGCCCTCCTCGACGACGACGACCGCGACGCCGCCTCCGCTCGCCGTCGGCTCCCCTCGGCCGCGAGACGATAACCTTCGCGGCACCGTGAAGCGGCGGATCCACCGGCTCCCCTCCTCTCCGCCTCCGTCATCGGCTGCCCTCCTCCCCGCCTCTGCCGCCAGCTCCCTCCTCGATGAACGACGACGACCGCGACGCCGCCTCTACGAGCCGTCGGCTCCCCTCGGCCGTGACGACAACAACCTTCGCGGCGCCGTGAAGCGGCGGATCTACCGGCTCAACTCCTCCCCGCCTCCGCCGCTGGTAGCCCTCCTCGATTACGATGATGACCACGACGCCGCCTCCGCGAGCCGTCGGCTCCCCTCGGCCGCGACGACGACGACCTTCGCGGCACCGTGAAGCGGCGGATCCACCGGCTCCCCTCCTCCCTGGCTCCGCCGCCGGTTCCCCTCCTCGCCGTCGGCTCCGCCTCCATCGCCGGCTTCCTCCTCCTCGACGACGACGACGGCGGCGCCAACGACGTTGAGATGACGACGACGACGACGACGACGATGATGCGACGACGGCGGCAACCCCTGTGGGGACGGCAGCGGACGGAGGAGGAGAGCAATCGTCGGCCGGAGGGAGAGGCCGGCGGAGGCGGTGGGGCGTCTTTTTTTTATTCGCTGAAATTTGCTTTGCAGGCAGGTGAATCTGCCGCCTGCGAAGATGCCGTCCGCCTGCAAAAATTGATTTTCGTAGGTGCCTGCGAAAATTATCTATTTTCACAGTCGTTTGCTTATAGGCGGAACGCCGGTCCACCTAAAAAGATGGATTTGGCCCGCCTTTTTTATAGTAGTGTCTTCATGAATATTAAGCATGGGCACTACTAATTAGTATTTGGTTTCAATCTAAACTAGCACATTTGCTATTCAAATTACCT